GCTGGACAATGAGGGCATAATGGGTCGGAAGCAAGGCCTTAGCTACTCCATTAACCAACCTGACCTCATTGAGCACGTGATCCAGCGCAACCCCCTCCAGCAACAGCCCAACAACCAGATCGCCACCGACAACCAGGACAACCAAGATGAAAGGGAGTAAGTTGCCGCACCCGAAAGGAACGCAAAAATAAAGTATAAAGAAAGATCGAGAGGGGGAACAAGTCGCTTGTAGTCGAGCTGACCTGTCATGCCGAGTCACATGGGACTTTCGTCCTTTTTTCCCCCCCACGAATGGCCGCTGAGGCGTCGCCGCGCTCTGCCAGCCCTGGCGACTCGGAGACTAGACTCCTAGATTCCAAGAAAGACTAGTCAAAGAGGCATTTTTCGTGTCTGATTAGATCACCCAGATCTATGCTGTGACCCTGAAGATAATCCTTAAGCCCTCCCGACTGGCAGCTATTCTTGCAATGTTGAGAACCTCTTGTGTGTCAGAGACGGGCCTCCCTCTGTAGGTCTGACACGAGGCCCTCAGGTCCTTGCCGATAAATGCTAGCCTTCCGCTCCCCAGTCCCGTCAGATTCTTGGGCGAGGGTCCTGTACCACTTGGCTTCTTTCCCCGGCTTGGCTCTGTGTAGGACTGCGACTCGCCCACTTTTGTTCGTCGCAGAGACACTTTATTGATGATTTTTTATTCTTTTGTGGCATATTCGTAGTTTTGTGGAGTTTCGTTGCGTGGAGAGTAGTTGTTAGAGACGCACTGCCTTGTGTTGTAAACTTTTGCACTCTCGTGTTTGTGTTTTAGAAATAAAAGTTTCCTTTTTTGGCACTTGTCGGTGGCATTTTAATTGTCTTGCATGTTTCGTGTATTCTTGCATGACTCGTTGCAATTACAGATTTTTTTTTCGTTTAATAAGTTCTGCGTAAAACTTCTCGTTCCAATTATTGTCACAACGGCCGGTACTGATTTCTGTGTGTGTTTTACATCGTATTTGATAATTTCTTGTTGGCAGTTTTATTTGTTTTGTTTGTTGTTATTACTGTTATTATTATTGTTATTGTTTTGTGTGCGTTGAGTGGGTGAACTTGGATTCACTTCTGTGCAATCTTCGTTTCTCTCACGGTTGCTTGTTTGGAATAATTATTCGTTTTATTGACGTGTTTGTATATCTTACCACGTCCTGCTTTCTCTTGTTTTGTTCCGTGTGTGTTTATTATTTATTTCGTTTGTTCTCTGTTCTCGTGCATGATGGAAAGGAGATCTGTTCTATTACTGCACAGGTAATGTTGTTCCTTGAAGTCATGCATTCATCATATGCATGACTGACTTTATTCCTCATTTTGAATATATACTTCCAGTAATTTTCCCTCCCCCCCCTTAGACGAAAGAAAGAAATAGTTAATGAGATTATTCACATTCATTCTGACATTTGCGAATTTTTCAAGACATACCTCACTCTTGTCGCTGATTCTCTCTCTCACTTTATACCATCTTGCTCTTTCAATCACTCCACCCCCCAATCTTCAACCTCGATCCAAGCAGATTATATAGACCAACATTTAAACATTTCTCTCTCTCCCCCTCTTTCTTTTTTAAATCCCTCTTTATCACATTTTCTCATCCCCGCCTCGACTCTTACAGGAGTGATGACAAGTGCATGCTAACACCTGAAGGAGGAGAGCCAGGTATCGACTCTGGGATCGTGACAGACGGAGGATCGACGTCGTCCTCGAACTCCTCGCATCAAGGGCATCACTCACCCACTCACATCCCCCACATGACAGCAGGACATACTCAGGTGTCAGGATCAAGGAGGAGTGAGGATCAAGGAGGAGTCAAAGGAAGAGGAAGTCAAGAGGAGTGAGTCAAGGAGGAGTGAGTCAAGGAGGAGTGAGTCAAGGAGGAGTAAGTCAAGGAGGAGTGAGTCAAGGAGGAGTGAGTCAAGGAGGAGTGAGTCAAGGAGGAGTGAGTCAAGGAGGCAAGGCAAGGAGAGTGAGTCAAGGAGGAGTGCAAGGAGGTCAAGGAGGAGAGTCAAGGAGGAGGAGTCAAGAGGAGTGAGTCAAGGAGGAGTGAGTCAAGGAGGAGTGTCAAGAGGAGTCAAGGAGTTCAAGGAGGAGTGATTCAAGGAGGGAGGAGTGAATCAAGGAAGTCAAGGAGTGAATCAAGGATGAGTCAAGGAGGAATGAGGATAGGGTGGATAGGGTGGGGATGGTATGGATGATGATGATGGTGTTAATGATGATGATTGTGATAGAAGTAGTGGGGATGTTGATATTATTGGTGTTGATGACGCTAATGGTATTATTAATGATGATGATGAGTGTAATGATTATGATAATTATGATGATAATAATGATAGTAGTAATGATAATGATGATGAATGATAATGATAATGATGATATATTACATTATTATATTTTGTATTATATTATATATTATTAATGATACAAAGAATGATACATTAGATTAAACAAAGGTTTTATAAATAGCTGGCAAACTTACACACCTATTAAAAAAGAAAAAAAAAAAAAGTGAGGTGAAAATAGAAATAAAAGATTAGGCAACCCTTAAAAAACAAGCTCGAAAAATGTAAATGAATGATTATGCATCCCTTAAAAAATGAGCTTGAAAAAATAAAATGAAAGATTATGCACCCCAAAAAAAAAAAACAAAAAAAAAAGTGAGTTCGGAATATATAAATGAAAGATTATGCAACCCTTAAAAAAGCTGAGCTCGAAAAATAGAAATCAAAGATTATATATTCCTTTAAAATAAGCTCGAATATCCCTTAAAATAAGCTCGAAAAGTCAAGATAGAAATAAAAATCCTCAACGTGCTACAGACCCTGTCATTTCCACACAGAAGGTTGACGTGGGTGGGCAGTCGCTTCCAAGATCTCATACTTGCGGTCAGCTGTAAATTTATAGGAGAAAGACATTTATTATTGTTTATTACTGCTTGGGGATTGCTCTTCTGTTTCGAAATGAGCGTGATAGGATTTCTAAATAGGATTAAGAGTGAGGGGGGAGGGAGGAAGGGAGGGAGAGGAGAAATAGCAAAGGGAAAGAGGTTTGTTGTTCATATTAATAATTGCTTGGGGTTGGATGCCGAGAGGTTGTAGGTCGGGTAAATAACGGTATTTTTATTATCCTTTCTTAAATATGAACTTCCGGATAAGATTCGGGAATAAGGGAAGAAAGGAGTATTTGGGATTTATTTAAGGAGGATAATGCTGGTTTGTATTCCATCTGGAGGTGTTTTTTTTTGTGTGATTCTATATTCTCATTTTCGGGTTGGTTGTAGAGACGAAGGTGATGTTAATTCTTACGTGTTTTGAGATTGACTTCCTCTTTAGCTAAGCATTTGGTCGAGTTTTAATTGCTGTAGTGCTGTTATACAAGTGACAGAGACAAATTATAATTCCAGATGTATATTTACTTCATCAAAAAATAAGTCCGGGTGTAAATAGATAGAGTTAATGGCGGGTACGAACGTAATAACAAAGGGTTATTAATTCCAGGTATGATTATAAACCGAAAGGAACTGATAATACCAGTTTTGAACAAATTAGCAGAGAGCTATGAACACCAGTTATAAACACAATGGAAACGGTTCATTGATACCAGCAGGGAATGATTGACACACACACACACACACACACACACACACACACACACACACACACACACACACACACACACACACACACACACACACACACACACACACACACACACACACACACACACACACACACACACTTACACCACTTACCCACACTTGCCCACACTTACACTAACACTTACACCCACCCACAGAAGGACATACCCACACCAGCAGAGCCCCACTCACACCCTCTCTCTCCCCCTCCAGGACCTGTATGCCCTCCCAGTGAAACGACCCTCAGCGCAGACAGGGTCCCAGCACTCGACTCCGACGCACCAGCTGCCACAGAACGACAACCACAAGGAGAAGACAGATCCACCCATAGAGGATACCCTTCCACCTGGATGGGAGAAACACGAAGTCACTATCGAGTGCGGAGTGGAGTGTAGGAAGAGTGGATTAGATAGAGAGTGAGAGTGGATAGGAGAAAACGTAGGGAGAGGGAGGTGGATGGAGAGGAGGGTAGGCAGGAGTGGATAGGGAAAGTGGACGTAGGAGAGTGGAGGAGTAGGTTTGGATAGAGGAGAGGGTGGGAGAGTGGGTAAGAAGTGGATAGAGAAAGTGAAGGAGAGGTAATGGAGAGACAAGAGGGTAGGGTTAGATAGGAAATGGGAGTGGATAGGAGAAAATAGAATGGGTAGGAAGGGAGAGTGCATGGGAGGAAATAGATCAGGTAGAAAGGGAGAATGGAGTGGGTTATTTCCTGGATAGGTATGGGAGTGATTACGTTTATTAATGTAATTAGATAATTTTTTCGTCACTGTGTCCTATTTTTACTGAAATATATATCAGAATGATTAGTATAGTTTTAATCACGTAGATATACATTTGTTACTTTACGCATTCTCCTTTTGCTTAGATAATGAGAACAATGATTGTAGATTTACTTAAGCACTTACATAACTCATTAAGTCCTCTTGTTACTTAGATAATGAGAACAATCCTAGCACTTACATAACTCATTGTCCTCTTGTTACTTAGATAATGAAAACAGTGTTTGTAGATTTACTTAAGCACTTACATAACTCCTTGCTTTACTATCTATTTTTCCCACGCCGATAGATAACGACGGGCCATATTACTGGCACATAAAGAGTGGCACCATCACACGCACACCGCCAGAACCCACAGACGCCGTCACCTCAGCACCTCTGAGGGCTGAGCGACGCCACAAAGAATCGTCTGACCAGGTAATGCAGTCGTGTCTGGTGCGGATCTGTCTGTCTTTCTGGGCGGTGAGAACGGTGTCTGTCTGTCTGGATGGTGAGAAGGGTGTCTGTCTGTCTGGGCGGTGAGAACGATGTCTGTCTGAGAAAGGTGTCTGTTTGTCTCTGGA